GTTCCCTCCACGGGGGAGGCTGCAAGTGGCTGCAGCAGGGAGCACCGGCCATAGGGTGGGGGAGGGGCTGCTTTTCCCCACACACAGCACCAGCTCATTACCTGCCGGCGAGCAGGGGGTCAGGGCTGCAAGCTGCCTCCCACCTGTACCGCGGGGCTGGAGGGGCACTGGGAGTGAGCAGGTGAATGGGGCCCACACTGGTGTCCCGGGGCCAGCACCACCGGGGCCCAGAGCAGGGCGGCAGGAGTACAGGGTCCCAGCCAGCAGGGGCTCTATGGAGCCAGGCCAGCTCCCCACTCTCCCTGCCAGTGCAGCCCAGCCCAGCTCCACAGACCCCTGCCAGCCCAGCCCCACTCTGGGCCCCACCAGTGCTGGCCCTGAGACATTGGTCCCAAGACATTGGGATGTTGGTCCCAAGATGGTGACCAGGGGGCGGGGCACCTGTCAAGGGACAGGGCTACCCATGCAGTCCTTGACAGCTTGCCAAAACTGGGTAAGCGGCCATCTGCCTGAAATAATTGCCTACCCCTGATCTAGAGGCAGGTATCCTGGGGGGCTATGTGGCATGCAGCCCAAATGGCATGTGGCCCGTGCGGTATGTGGCCTCTGGTTCCCAGAAGCTGGATAGCCCTGAGTTAAGGTTACCTCCACTGGTGAGGCTGATTTTGATTTCCATTGTAACTAAAGAAGACATGCTTTGACATCTCTGGGTTAAGACTCATACGCAAATAGAATGCATTCCAGAATGTTAGTACAATTGAATAAGTAGGATTTGGGATATATTTACTTTAATATGGCTTTATCAGAGGTGAAAAGGGATATCTTAGCCAAGCTAGAATCCTGCACAGAAGGTGGAGTTTATTAACTCCACTGGGATGTAAAGGAGATAGACATGATTTTGTACAGAGGTCTCTGTGATACATCTTTGAAACAGGCAAATTTAATCTGAGTTATGCATTGTATATGCTGTATGCTACATTTTAAAATAACCAAAACTGAGGAAATGGAAAATTTGGACTACATGCATTTGATTCTGGGCAAAAGGTTTTCTGGATGTGATTACCCCATTTTTTTTTTCATTTATGCATTAAAAATATTTTATAAGGAAATGGTTGTCCTAAGCAAGGGCTGCCAGAAATGAAATGCAACAGAACTCTGCCCTGTCAATGAAACTCTAAAGATCTTCCTGTTTGATTCTTTTATAGCATCAAGTAACAAGAACTGTGTCAGCACACCATGGGTCACTGTTTTTCTTTCTTGTGTGATCACTGATTCCTTATACTTGGCCAGACAATGGCTTTTTCCCTGATTCCAGATGGATTCATATGCTGAGTGAGCAAGAGTGAAGAATGGAGCAGAGAGAATGACAAGCTAGCGATAAAGCAATAGATATTACTGATGTAACAAAATGCCAAACACCTTTTGTAACTTCAGCTGCAATTCTCATTGACTAGTTGAATCAGGGTGTGCACTGTTCAAACTCTCCAAGAACTCATGTACTATGTCATCATCAAACCAGGTCCATGTGTATATACATTGCAAATACAAGGATAATTGATCTGTGCATGTACTAAAGAGCATAACTGTGACTCCAGTCAGTCTCAGCCCTTTTTTGTAAGGCATTCAGTATGAATATAAACTGACTGAACAAAACTCAAGTCCTAACAGACTGTGTATTAGCATTTCCTTTGAAAGTCTTAGTAGGATTTTTTTGTGTTTGCAGTAATAGTACCCTCTGGTGGCCAATAATAAAAGACCTGAAAATTACATATACGTTAAATAAAAATTGTAGAGCCAACTGACTTGTATTATTTAATAGATTTCATAGACATTAGGGCTGGAAGGGACTTCGGAAGATCATCGAGTCCAGCCCCCTGCCCAAAGGGCAGGAAGTCAGCTGGGGTCATAGGATCCCAGCAAGATAAGCATCCAATTTACTCTTGAAGGTGTTCAATGCAGGTGCTTGAACCACCTCTGATGGCAGGCTGTTCCAGACCTTGGGGGCTCGGACAGTAAAGAAATTCTTCCTTATGTCCAGCCTGAAACAGTCTCGCAGTAGTTTATAACCGTTCGACCTCATCATCCCTTGGGGGCGCTCTAGTGACCAAACGTTCCCCCAGATACTGGTGGTCACCCCTGATAAACTTATAGGTGGCCATCAGATCACCCCTGAGCCTGCGCTTTTCCAGGCTAAAGAGCCCCATGGCTCTCAGCCTGTTGTCGTAAGGTCTCTTTTCCTGACTCTGATAATGTGCGTGGCTCTTCTCTGGACTCTCTCAAGCTTCCCCACATCCTTTTTGAATTGTGGAGCCCAAAACTGGATGCAGTACTCCAGCTGCGGACTCACCAAGGCCGAGTACAAGGGGAGAATGACGTCCCGGGATTTGCTTGAGAAGCATCTATGGATGCAAGCCAGCGTTTTGGTCACTTTACTAGCTGCCGCATCGCATTGCAGGCTCATGTTCATCTTGTGGTCAATGATGACCCCCAAGTCTCTTTCTTGCATAGTG